TGCTCAACAGGGATCGTAGTGGGTTGCGTCGGCAGTGTGTGCTGCTGAATGGCAGCAATGCCAGTTGGCATCATTGCTGGGTATCCTTGTGACTGCGGTACCCAGGTGTTCGGGTGAAACTGATTGAGCACCGGTCGGGTTGTTGGTGCGTATGGTGTTGCTGGTGGCTGCGCGGTAAAATAATCCGGCCACATAGCTGCAACGAAGTTGGTGAAACAAACACAGTTGCACAAGCAAAGTGCAGGCTGTCCTGGTTGTCCCTGCTGGACGGACTTGAGAGGTCGAAGACGGAGAGAAAGAAGAGGGCCGATTACTTCCCGGAGGAAGCGCTGCTTCACTTGCTTTAGACAAATGTTACCGCACCTGCCCTCATGTCAGTTGCACATGCCCTTGCGGTCCCTGAGAAATGAAGAAGCGATCGAATAGAGGACAGAATAGCGAGGTAATCCTGTGCATTAGCGGCCGGTTACTGCACTAGACGTCGGTTACTGCACCTGCACTCATGTCAGACGCACATGCGAGCATCAGAGAGATAGAGAGATAAAGTAGCATCGGGAGAATCTGAACGATCGGAACGAAGGCTGAACACCCGGTTCATCACCGGTCTCCCCGGAGGGTCACCACGGCGCCATGACGGAAAGCCGTTGCTCTGGAGTCTCAACGACCCACGCTGATCACACTGATGGATTCGGCCAAGAGTACGAGTGCAAGAGGAAAAAGAGAGGCACGTTGTTGCAAAAGCTTGTCAGATTGCGGCAAACGTGCAAAACTTTATGCTCAAGCAAAAGGTGGAAACCGTAAATGCACTAATCTTGCTGCCTCAGGGGGCCAGCGTTTTCTAATCTGGCTGCCTCAGGGGGCCCAGCTTGCAGGTACACAGTTCAGCGTCCTGAACTGCTTCCCACTCCATGGCATAGCTTCGTTGCATTGGGTCTGCCAAGGAGTGCCCAATGCCCCTGCAACAGTTGATTTGGTAAAAGTCCAATGTCAGATTATGTTGAAAAGCAAAATTGCAAACAGTGTAGGAGTGACCCTCTGCTCCCATGTGCTAGGGAGGTTCACACACACACACACACACACACACACACACACACACACACACACACACACACACACACACACACACACACACACACACACACACACACACACACCCACAAGCACACCACACAAACATCACACACACACACACACACCACACAAAACAACACACACAACACACACACACACACACACACACACACACAACACACACACACACAACAAACACACCACACACACCCACACACAACACACCCACACACACCCACACACAACACACACACACCCCACACACACACACACACACACACACACAACACACACACACCACCCCACACAAACACACACACACACACGCCCACCCACACGCACACGCCACACCCACCCCCAACCCCCACCCCCACCCCCACCCCCCCCCCACCCCCACCCACCCCACACCCCCCCCACAACACAACCAACACCCACAACCACACCCCACCCCCACACCCACACCACACCCCACACCCACACCCACACCCACACCCACACCCACACCCACACCATCACCCACACCCACACCCCACCCACACCACACCCCACCCACAACCAACACCAACACCAACACCACAACACCAACACCACAACACCAACACCAACACCAACACCCACACCAACACCAACACCAACACCAACACCAACACCATCACCAACACCAACACCAACACCAACACCAACACCACCACCACCACCAACACCACCACCAACACCAACACCAACACCAACACCAACACCAACACCAACACCAACACCAACACCAACACCAACACCAACACCAACACCAAAACCAACACCAACACCAACACCAACACCAACACCAACACCAACACCAACACCAACACCAACACCAACACCAACACCAGCACCAACACCAACAACAACAACAACACCACAACACCACAACACCACCACACCACCAACCAACACCACCCCCAACACCACCACCAACACCACAACCAAACACCCCACCAACACATACACAAACACCAACCACCAAACACCAACCACCAACACCAACACCAACACCAACACCAACACCAACACCAACACCAACACCAACACCAACACCAACACCAACACCAACACCAACACCAACAACACCAACACCACCACCAACACCAACACCAACACCAACACCAACACCAACACCAACACCAACACGCACACACGCAGACACGCACACAC